TTATTCTGCACTAATTGTAGTTTCCAAATACTCCTTCCAGGGTAGCCCCATGTAGAGTTCATTGCAATAGTCCAGATGTGAGATGACCAGGGGCTTGAATGACTGAACGTAGGGACTCCCAATCCAAGAAAGGATGCAACTGGCGTACAACATAGAGTTGTGCAAAATTTCTTCTAGGCGGGACTGCCACCTGCTCTTTGAGCAGAAGTCGCAAGTCCCAGGAGAACCCCGAGTTGTGCACCGGGTCTCTCTGAGGTAGTGCCATTTGGTCTTGTCAGAGTTAAGTCAAAGGTTGAGTTTTAGTCCAAGACCCTCATAGCCTCCAGCCACTGCAAGAAGGCAAAGACAACATCACTTGGGTCACCATAGAAAGCTCAGTACCATTCACGTTCTGATAATACTTCAACCTATGGTGATGTATGACTTCACCCCGCGGCTTCATATAGAAGCTAGATAGGGGTAGACAGAAGAGTACCAGTACCTGCAGCACACCACAAGGAGCCAAAGTGGATTGGATCTCTCACTTCCTATCAGCACCACAGCCTTGAAGAAAGGAGCCAGACCCGCATAAAATGGCACTACCCAGCCTCAAACAGTGAGACCAGTATGGAAGGCTGCTGAGAGCTTGAGTAAGGATGTTGGTACCATCCCCATCCTGATTGGAAGGGGTCCAGATAATCCATTTTATCCAGGACCCTCTTCAAGCAACCACCTTCCCTAAAAATGAAAAGTTGGAAACTGGACGAAAATTGTCCAGGCAGGTGGGGGTCAGGATATATTTCATTTTAAAGGGGGCAAACCAGAGCCAGGAATGTCCCCTCCTACAGTGAAGAATTAATTGAAGCCACCTGGTGGTCACCATCCTGGAAGCTGACACCAGCCAGGAGGGATAAAGATCTAACTGACAGGGGGTTGCACCGACAGCATCGTGGACCCTGCCCACTTTCATCAAGTCCAGCAGGATCAAACTGTTCCCAGGTAACTAGGTAAGACCTTTCCCCAGACATTTCACCTAGACCCACCTGAGTTCCAACAAGGAACAAATCTGAATGATTTTGTCCATTAGGTATGGAGCAAAGGCCTCTGTGCAACCATGAAGACAATTATTCGAAACCCACCCACCCTAGTCCCAGGAGGGACCACGCAATCCTGAACAGAGCCACCGGGTGATACTCTAGATGCAATCAGGGGCAGAGAAAAGATGGATGATTCACCGGTCATAGCTGCCATAAGATGGGCCTTAATGGCAGCTCTGAGTCATGTCCAATCAAGAGTCCTCCCTCATCTTCCTCCAGCGGCGCTCTAACAAGTTTCCCCTGAAAATAAGACAGGTTTTTATTTTCTTTTGACCCCCCCCAAATAAGCACTAGGCCTTATTTTCGGGGATGTCTTATTATTTTTGAGGTGCAGGAGACGGCGAGAGTGCTCACCTCATGTCTGCTACTGTGTTGCAATATTTTTGAGAAGGGCTTATTTTTGGGGGAGGGCTTATTTTAGCGCATGTGCTCAAAAGCCCGATTGGGCTTATTATGCAGGGAGGTCTTATTTTTGGGGAAACAGAGTAGGTGGCTCTTAACCCTTTTCAAAATCCACAACTCCTCCGTGAAACTGTTTACTGGAAAGTCAAACAGCTTGGCGATACGTTATATTAAACTTTCTCACTGAAGGCTAACAGTTTTTAATTCACTTATGCAAGTAGAGATACTATTATATAGAAGAAAAGATCTGCCTACTTTTGCTTTGTGTTACATCAAATGACTAACATGAAGAAAATACCTTGTTTTTCCTTGGTGTAGGTGTATATGGTCATAAATACTTAAGAAAATGTATTGAAGCCAGTACCCCTCGCTCCATCTATATAGACATGGGAATCCTGGAGAACATCTCATCATGTGTCTAAAGCCAGCATAGTCTTCCATTTTTCTATTGAGACTTGTGCCTTTGAAGTTTGCCCACAATGTATAAAATGTGAATGTTCAAATAAAGAGCCTTTTCAGTTCATTATTTTTAAATAGACATAGCATTAAATCCTACCTACAACTTAACCGGAGTGTAAAGCCCTTTGAACATAGTTGGATTTAGTTCTAAAGAAACATGGATATACTTGTTTACGATCTGGTTCTTTCTGTTTACTAAGTACCGGTAGTTAAGAGTTTCCAGGGTTTTGGTCTTCAGATTTATTTATTTTTTTAAAAAAGAAATAAATACTACACAGTTGCCTTTTAGACAGAATGAGAAGGGTGTGTATAATAAACTGGATTTTTGATAATTTCAGAAGGATAACTGGATAATGTTCTGCATTAGAGCAGCAAGAAGGTGACTAGACGACATTCTTTCCTAAAATTACCCTTGTTAAAAGGCATGGTGGTTTCATGAAACTAAGATAGGTAAACAGTACATTACTAACTTGTTCCCTTCTCTTCTTCCAAATCCCCTTTCCTCCTAAATCCTCAGTGAAACAAAGACTTGTTTTCTTCTTGTCTGCCTGTGAGGTCTTTGGTACTTGCCCTGTGTGGGTGTAGAACCCCATATTTAAATACTTCTCCGCTACTGAAGAAAAGAAAGAACAGGAAACAGATAAATCCAAATTCTAGTAGATAAAGGACTACATATTTACTTTTCCCCTCTCCTCAATTTAGGCACCATTGAAAATGCGGTTATGTTTTGAGCCGCTAAAGCGGCATTGAAAGTATACAACAAAAAGAACTCCCGATGGGAGACTTGCATTAAGTTTGAAACTTAATTTGTATGGTTTTTCTAGATACTCACATTCGCTCCTTCCTTCCTTCAACAGAATTATTCTCTCTTGTTAATAATGTTTTAAAATAATGTTAATAATCTCTTTAAAATACATTATTTTTCTATTTCACTCATGGATTGAAAATTGTAGAGTTCAGTGTCATTGCTCAAAGATATTTGTCAAAGTTTTTTTTAAAAAAATGTTTGATTTCTTTTTATTTATTTATTTACTTATTTATTGCCTTTTTATTAAGGGCAAGACAGTCCTTGAAGTCTCCTATTATAGAGAGAGAATGCAAAGGCTGAGTGGTACTTTTGTGTCTTTATTTCTCTTTATCAGAGATGTTATTAGAGACACTGTGCTCGTAAATGTTAATCATTGTATATTTTGGACCTGGCTTAGAATCAGTTGAGAGATTGAAAAATGTTTGGTTCTTATTGTCACATGCTTTAAAAAAAAAAAGCCTCATTTTGATTTACAGCCCAGTAGAACTGGTTGGATTGTCTGTTTACAACCGAAATGGAAACTCGCACATTTTCTACATAGCCTATATTTATCTTAAAATGTATTTTATTTCTATGACCTAGCAGAAACGCAGCTGACTAAAAGATGTAATTGGAATATGCTGTTTTGCCCAACTGCTTGGATAATTTAAATAGATTTTGAGAAGGCTGGCTATAAACTAAGTTTGTGCAGTCTCTAATCTCTTTTTTTTTCTCTTCAGTTGCTATTTTGATTTAAGTTTAATTCTTCCTTTCATTTAGTCATGTTGTTCTGCTTGAAATAATATTGGTAATAATAAGAGCGGAGGTGGCACAGTGGTTAGAGTGCAGTACTGCAGGCTACTTCAGCTGACTGCTAGCTGCAGTTCGGCAGTTCAAATCTCACCTGCTCAAGGTTGACTCAGCCTTCCATCCTTCCAAGGTGGGTAAAGTGAGGACCCAGATTGTTGGGGGCAATAGGCTGACTGTAAACCGCTTAGAGAGGGCTGTAAAAGCACTATGAAGCGGTATATAAGTCTAAGTGCTATTGCTAGTGCTAATAAGGGTATCACTAAATATTAATCACATGTCTGCATATATTATTATTGTGTTCTGGGGACTTCCTTTGATACATAAACTAAAATTTGTATATATTTATACTGATACTATGATTTCAATTTTAAACTGTCTCCAGGATTTATCTTTGTGCAGTATTGGCAATCTCTTTGAAATTCCGAGAGAGACAGAGAGAGAGAGAGAGATTAAATGACAGACAGACAGACAGACAGACAGACCCATCTGGATGGCCTTTATTAGAAGTATTAACAAGACAACTTTCCTTTCCCTACTCATCTAGATTTTCCTCTGCAGCCTGTGAGATTTTTTAACATTATTATCTCTTCAGATTTAAACTTACGATGTCTATTGGTGAACTCAAAACATAAATTTGCCCTTTCCCATCTCATTTAGCATTATTGATTTGTTAAATTTACAGGTAATCCTCGACTTTTGACCAAAATTTCTGTTGTTAAGTGAGATATTTGTTAAGTGAGGTTTGGCCCATTTTACGACCTTTGTTGTCACAATTGCTGAGTGAATCACTGCAGCTGTTCAGTTAGTAACACAATTATTAAGGAAACCTGCCTTCTCCATTGTCAGGTTTCAAAAGGTATTTGACTCCAGGACTCTGCAATGGTCATAAATATGAGTCAGTTGTCCAGCACCTGAATTTAGATCACATGACTACAGGGATGCAGCAATGGCCATAAAGTGTGAAAAATGGTTGCAAGTCACTTTATTTCATTGCTGTTGTACTTTGGTCACTAAACAAACCTTTATAAGTCGAGAACTACCTGTGTTTGCCGCTCATCTCGCTGTGGGGCTACTCTAGCGTTAAAAATAGTAAACAAGATATATTTATACTTGCAAATGGGAATTCCTACTCTATTTCCTTTCTGACTTTTCCCTTCCTGTTCTCAATATCCTTTAACGTGAGGAAACTATTATATTTGGCCCCAATTATTAAATCCATTAAGATAGTGGCCCCCTACCTTTTGGGCACTAGGGACTGGTGGCATAGAGAGAGATTTTTCTGTGCATCCTATGATTGGGACTGCTTGTTTGTCCAGTCCGGTTTCTGGCAATCTGCGGACCGGTGCTAGTTCACAGCCTGGGAGTTGGGGGGCCCTGCATCACGGCATGTATATTCATTATATAACATTAGGATTTTGGGGGATAAGACCGCTTTACAGTGCCTGCTCTTTTGTTTGCTTCTACAGCTATGAACCAGAGAATCAGCCAAAGCGCTCCCGTGAAACAGCCACCGCCATTGGCCCCCCAAAGTCCTCCCGGTGGAGTCCTGGGAGGTGGCACTTCCAATCAACAGCAACAGATAAGACTGCAGCAGCTACAGATGGAAAAAGAAAGGTTGCGACTGAAGCATCAAGAACTGCTTCGGCAGGTGAGGCCACAGGTTAGAAAACACAACTTCAACTATAATACGATAACTTGTTGCTTATGCATGAGTGGCATTGTGCTTTTCAGCACTGCAATTCTAGCAAGCATCAGTAGAGAGAGGGAAGTCGCCAATCGTATAACTTGCCCCAGCAAACAACAAATCAGACTCTTTGATCCTTTCGAAATGTTTCTTTTGTGACAGTTTGTGGTGCTGGGCTGTTTCTGGCATGGTGCTCTTTTTCATTGCTGATAACTCTGCTTCCTGGACAACTTGCTGTGTAGCTCTGCAACTGTATTAATGCTCTGCATGGTCAGAGCTCATCTGACTGAATTTTCCAGCTTTCATGATGGATGGCATGTGTGAATTGGATCTGGTCTTGCTGTGTTTCTGAAGAGTATTGAAACTTCAGCCTTTCTGTACAAAAAACCAAAGCTGTTCCTTGTTTTTAAGGACGTGATGCATCGTTCCATTTTCCGTCAGGGGTCACCAGGGGATTTTGAAAGTTGACAAACAAGGCCTAAGGATATTGGCCCTGTTGCCTATCTCAAGCATCTAGAACTTAAATATAAAAATATTTATCTCTTTAGGTATCGTAATTTAACAGTCCTTGAGGAATCCATGCTCCGCATATACCTAAACCTTTTTTAAAAAGTCATCTAAGCCTGTTTCTGCTCAACAGATCTTGTGGAAGTGAATTCCATAAAGTAATGAATTTCAGGAAACTTATCATCATAGTATTTTACTAAGCCCCCTTCCATGGATGTGGATCCTTACAAAATGCACATGTCAATGTGCTAATTGCATAGTTCATTATGACTGTGTGCTTCATAAGAGAGAAAACGAAAGGGGAGGGGGAATTCATCCATGTTAGGTAATGTTTATGTGGTTGGAGTAATGTCAGTAACTCTCAGAAGGAAACTTTAAAACGGATTAACCCAGGTCTTTTACTTCAGTTTAAATTTCGTTCTTTGAAACCCAAAATACTTTCCTTAAATGCTTAAATGTAAGCTGATTTGTTGCTTTTGCTTTTTTTTTCCTTTTTCCTTTTGTAACCCTGAAGGCCTGAGCCCAAAGAAACAATGAAGTTTCTTTTCCAAAACCTTTGCTCTCAATCATTGCTTGCTGTCCTAGATCTTTTGCTAATGATTGATTAGCTCCTTGTCTCCAGTGCTTTGCATCATGTTTTGTGAGGGTTGTGGAGCATTGCAGATTCCCTAACCGCTTTTGGAGAAACTTTTTAAAACCTCTTTTTCCTTGCTTTTTTTGGGTGGTGGTTCTTGCATCAGGCAGTATTTTCCTATTCTTGGAGATCATTTCTTCAGGCTTTTGCCTTCATCGTTCCTTGCTTTTTCTGCCCTTGTTCTAGAGGCAGTTAGACTATAAAAATAAAATAATATTGAAAGGAATAAATACTCCATTTAAGCTGGATCATTACGGGATGTCTCCTTTTAAAAAATAATAACAATAATCATGAGTTGCCTCTGGACAAGTTAAAAATAACAGCTTCCTAAGCTGAATTTTCTTAACTTTTGCCTATAACTGCTTTGCTATTAATATCAAACAAATCCAAATGCCGCCAGGCCAGCATGCTTTTAGAAAAGGCTTCTAATTTGGGATTTCTTTTCTTAAACATCTTCTTCTCAAGAAGATAACTAACTTCAAGCCAGGCAGTGTCCAGACTACTTCTTTTTGTCCCCTGTATGTTTAAGCAAAACCTGTTCATGTGCTCTGTAAGCACTCCTTAAACGTCTTATTCCATTATGCAGCAAACTTTGCCATCTCTTAACCACCTTATCCCTTGTCATCTGTGGCTGCTTTAGGAACTTCCCTCTTGAGAACATTAAGAAGATGATGAGTAAAGTCAAGGTAGCCTAGCCATCCCTGTCATAAGACACCCACAAAAGTAATGTTGACCCATCTTATTTTTTTTACTCTTAGGCGTTGCGGAATATCAATCCCAGCACAGCAAATGCTCCAAAACGTCAGGTAGGCTCATAACAAATGTTTCAGCCAAATAAGAAACATTTTCTTTTGACCTAGATCAGCTGTGCAAAGTGCTTGGGTTTCGTTTGTATTTTAATACCACGGCGGGCTTAAAAAGCAGCTATGTGTATCTCCCCGCTCCTCCAACACATATCCCCACAGACAACTTGAAGATGGTACGGTCATATTTGTCATTGCTGGTTTCAGGGATCAAAAGAAGCTGCTTAGTTTTCTAGTTCTCTCTTAGACTTGTGTAACTTTGAATTTCCCAAAGCCTATAAATTGGCCTATAAAGCTAAGTACTCTATTTCAGCTTCAAGGAGCTAAGTTGCCTCAACTGTTGGTTTTTTTAAAAACTTGGCAGTCAACCTTACAAATGTTCCTTCTGTAGAAAATAGGCTTAAAATGGAAAATATCAAGTCGGCTGAATGTTTTCTAAGGATTTAAAAATTATATTAACTGCCAATTCTCGTTTTCAGATCTGCTGTGCAAGTCAATGTGTCACATTTAAATATTACCTCAGAGAAATCTTGTAATGGCCACCCTGTGATATAGTGTTTCAAATTTTGCCAATTGAGGAGCTGGATAATAACACTGAATTTGATACTGGGATAGATTAGGAATGGACCTCTATATGGAAGAATTTTGCTACAGCATTTTGTTGAAAAAAATGTTTTGGGGTAAAGAAGGCATACAGTTTCATTCCATCTTTCACATTTCTGGGAGAGTCTCACATTTTTATCTTCTCACAAGCCTTCAGTAATAGCATTGTGTTCTCTTGTGCACTGCTTGGAGATTCCATGCATGAGTTATAACTTCTGCCTATCAGCCCAGAGACTGAGTTTAGATTGTTTGGATACACCTCCTTGGCCAGTTCTTAACTCAGTCTAAGCCCAAAGAGACGTAGCATTATGATTTATCAAAGGTCAATTGATTTCAGTTATAGCCAAGGCGAAATTAAAGCCTCGTTATCTTGGTTGAAAATAAGTACTTATTCCTGATACTGGATTAGGTTTAGTGTTTATCATATTATTCCTGTGCCCTGTGTTTAGAAGCTGGCAGAATTAATGCAATGATGTTATTTTAATTTTTACATCCCAGTAACTAACTTTGTTTTAATCAGTGTATGGACTCTACTGTTATTGTTTATTGGAGATGTTTTATTTTTCTGCATGCCATTTTCACTGGCAGAGTGCTCAAACCATCACAGGCACTCCCAACATGAGTGACATCGAGCTGGCCACACACCCTTCCACCCCCCACCCCCTGAAGTCAAACGTAACTGTGATGCGGCCCTCAATGAAATCAAGTTTGACACCCCTGGCCTAGACCAAAGTAATCAGATTTTGAAAACTGTAACCCCTTTGCCCTTAACTTCCTTGCAACCTTTCCAGATGGTTCAAAAATGTTGTTTTAAAACCCTGCTCTAAAATACAAGTTTTAAGTCTATAAGTTAGACTAATTTCTACCCCAAGAAGTTTAAAAAAAAATTCAGAAGTGGAACTAGTTAATTAGAAGATGTGTTGAAAAAGAGACTAGACACAGCCATCCATAAGGGACACTTTAATTTGGATTCCTGAACTTGACAGTACATAAACTACTGCTTCCTATTCTAGAATTCCTAATAATAAATAATTGAATACAAATGTTTAAACAGATTCAGCAGAAAGGTGTTAGCATCATTCATTGGCTCCAGCAACTCAGCTCTAAAGAAAAAGTGGTTAACTTAAAGTCTTAAGAATACAATTTGACAATTTTTAATAAATATTTTTTGAAGAAGTCAGAAAGAAGAATGAATGGAAATAACGTACCGTCTTGATAGATACAGGCTCATAAACCTGGAAGACTATTTAAAAATGCAGTCTGAAATGATCATAGAGCATAATACAGTGTGCAAAAGATGCTGCCATTTTAGTTGGTGTAATAATATGCTCAGGTAAGGCCTTTCTAGATATGGCAGTTATATTAAATAACTGATTTGCCTTGATCTTAAACTGATAGCTTGAAATAGCTGAGGCAGTTGCAGATAAGTAACTGGTTAGTGGAAATAATCTAGGGATCAGTCTTTGCAGTGTTCTTAGATTTATTCTTAAATACCATTTGGGGAAAACAGTGCTAATTTGCACTGTTTTTCTGAGACCAACAAATTAAGCCCAATGTATATGTAGTTAAAACCATAGTACTAGAATTATTTCAGGCACCAAAGACCTTAAAACCTCTCTTTATTAAACTCATTACGTTCACAAATCTACGCTGTTGTGAACAGTGAGACTGTGTGCTCTCTCAAGATTTTGGTGTAAGACTGAGCTCATCTGTGTTGAATTTCCTGGCAAAATGTGTATTAATGTTTTTAATAAAAGTGCACATGATCACAAGTCTGTTTGTGATGTTCCATCTTCTCCAGTGTGGCTCAACATTTTGCCAGACCTCAAAAGCACATACTACTAATTCCACATTGCAGTGCTTGTGTTGACTGTGGGAGGACTAATGAGAGGGATTGCTTGAATACTAAGTATTGTATCTGAATACGGAAGAGTTGGTTATAGAAGTATTGCAACAGGCCATACAGAATCCTGATTTATACAGACTTAAAAAAAAAATAAACAAGTTATGAAAAATCTCCTGTTGTAGCTTCATGCAAGATGATTAGTCCAATTAAATATCTACAAATGGTGAAACTAAGTCCTGGGATAGACATTATTGATGTCTCATGTTACTTCAAAATCAATGTGAATAGGACAAATGTTGGACTCAGGAAATACTGTAATGTGATTAGGAGATATCATCTGCCTGATCTTGTCTGATTTCAAAAAGCTAACTGGATTACATTTACTTAGTAATTTGGATGTAGGATCAAGAAATTGCACGATTATAGGTAAGACTCTGGAATTGAGAAAATCTAAAAAAAAATGGCACTGGTAAACCCTGGTATTGCTGCCAAGAAAATGACATCACCCATCAAATCACCAATAATGGAGTTTGACTTGAATATTTTATATATATTTTTACCTAATTAAAATACAAATTTTTGCTCATAAATGTTGCTGACTCTCAAGCAAAAGAATGAACAATAATCTATGTAATCTTAATTGTTGCTATGTTTACTTGCTTGAACCATTGGTTATTTTTGTTCATAATCTCTAATTCTGGATAAACTTCTGAAAGTTTAAGGTAGGATTCTTGACTATCTATCTGTCCATATTTATTTAAATATGTAATATGAAATTGGTAGAAGCCGTCAGTGTCTTAGTCTCCTTGGATTCCAGAGGACTACAATCTTAATCTGAAATTAATTTTTTCATTTTGTGTTCTTACTTTTTTGTTATCCAAAATATGAAGCTGGATTACATAAATTTCTATTTTAGGACAAGATTCCTTTATGGTTATTCATAACATTGTGAGTGTGCTTTTTAGTATATTAGAAGCAATAATCTGACTGCTTATCATATAACCTATAGTGAAAAGTTCTTAGAGTTCATTTCAGCAATGAAACCATTGTAGAGAAAGTTGGTTCAGATGATATGGCAGCAATTAACTTCTTTCTAATTATTCCTGGGAGTTACTTACTTGTAGAAATACCTGTGTTTCCACGGCAATAAGACTGGGTCTTATATTAATCTTTGCTCCAAAAGACACATTGCGGTTTATTTTCTGGTTAGGTTTTGTTTTGGGGGAAATACAGTACTAAATGCATCAATCTGGTTGCATCTTAACTGGAGGTTATTTTGGGGGTAGTGCTTATGAGCATCCTTAATGGCGGGTTAACGATCTTAACTGGGGGTTATTTTGGGGCGTAGGGCTTATGAGCATCCTGAAAAATCATGCTAGGGCTTATTTTCCAGTTGGGGGTTATTTTGGGGGAAACAGGTAGTAACATCAAGGCTGCAGATTCATGTGAGATCACAGGTTCTTTTGATTAAAAATAACTTAGATTACAGAGTCAAAGCAGTAGTTGATAACTAATAGCTCATGTAACAAAACCCCCCAAAAATTGTCCCAGAATACCTCAAAGCCACATAAATTGAACAGCCATTTGAGGATTGCAGTCCTGTGTATCCTTTTGATTCCACTACGTAAGCCTGTTTTTGTCATTGTTGCTTTCCTCAACTCCACCCTTAATCATTTTTACCATGTTTATATTCAGTTAGATCCTGAAATTCAACTCTGTCTATGTGACACCTGTTTAGTCACTTTCAGGGCCCTCTGGAACACCAAGACTAGATTGGTGTCCATGTCTAGAAAAGTCTCTAAAAATAAAAGGGCCAACTGCCTAATAGATTTATTTTGGCTTGAGTCTAAATATTCTTTAGCCTGTGGAAACTATGAGTAGTTCTGCTTAAAGTCATTTGAAAGATTCCATTCATATTTGGGAACTCTATTCCGTATACTCACTTGCTTCTGATTGGTCATATTAATATCTACAATGAAATAAAAAAGTTACAATTATAAAAATGGAAACATAGCCAAGATAGTTTAGAATGTAAATGTGTGGGTTTTTGTTTTTTTATTCAATAGACATAACTACCAAGCAACAATGGGCAGCTAACAATGTCAAAAAGGGGAAAAAACCCAGTAATAAACCAACAAATCAATAGAATGCACAATAATTCACAGAAAAACATTGAAACATTCTGTCAGCTCACATAATATCCTAGCTCAGGGCTGAGGAAAAAGCCAGGACTTCAGATACCGAGAAAAACACTTGCACCATAATAATGTTTTCAGTTTTAATTTGGATTACTTATCTGTAACTATTACAGGTAGTCCTTGACTTACAACAGGTCATTTACTGACTATTCAAAGTTACATCATCACTGAAAACTGACTTATAACTGTTTTTTACACTTACAATCGTTGTAGCATCCCCATGGACACATGCAGAGGTGGGTTCCTACTGGTTCGGACAAGTTCAGCTGAATTGGTAATGGTACGATGGCCTGGGTCGCAGAACTGGCAGCGACCCAGGCCTGACACGCCCCCTAACCCTAACCAGACACCGCCATCTTTTTGGGGAGTTCTGCATATGCGAGAACAATTTCCATTGACCTGTGCATGCACGCATAGCGCGAATCCGACAAGAGCAGACCGGCCATAACACCAGCTAGGACCCACCCCCTGGTCACATGATTTACATTCAGATGCTTGACAACTGACTCAACATTTATGACAATTGCAATGTCCCATGGTCATGTGATTTCTTTGGTGACCTGAGAAGCAAAATCAATGGGGAAACCAGAATCACTTAGCAACTGTGATGCACTTAAGCAATGTGGCGGGAAAAGTTGTAAAATGGAGCAGACTCACTTAACAAATTTCTCACAACATAAATTTTAATAACATAATTTTGGGGCTCAATTGTGGTTGTAAATCGATGACTACCTGTACTAGCTCTTCACCACTTTTTTTTTTAAAGCTACTTTTAAGTTATGGAGATTTTTCTTTTAAAAATACTCCTTTTTTTTACATAGAACTTTATTTTAATCTACAACTTTTTTATATTCCAGAAAATACATCCCAAATAAATAATGTTGTGCCACTACAATAATGTCGTTATTGTCCGTGGTATCAGAATCTGAACTCTCACGACCCATTTTACATTTATGGAAACTAATACATTACTAGCATATGCTTAATAGATGTCATTTTTTATTTCCAATCTTGAATATCTCAGTTTGACAGAGTTGATAAATAAATAGGATATGTAAAAAATCAAGCAGTATCAGAAACCTGTCACATTAATAGCTCTACTAGATCAGATGTATTATAAATTATCCATTATGTGCAACAATAATGTAAAGAAGTTATTGTCTGTGTTTATACATTGCACTAAGCCATTATCCATAGTGGTGGAGATAGCGCCCAGGAATGCTTTTAGACTCTTATCTTAGGACCAGATGTGTTTTTCTCTTCTGTCTTCCATTCCTGGATATTTTAATAACTATTCTTCTACAAATTAACAACGCTTGAGGCTGGCCCCCTTTAACAGCAGGTAAGAGCAGCTTCCCGATCCAGCAAGAAGGGCTTTCACGAGCAACGCTTCGGAACGCTGACCCTAGGACTGCATAAGACATAATTAGCGGTCCCGACACAGCCCAGGGGCATCACTCATGAATTTCCATTCCACAGCTCTAGCCCCAGGAGCAACTCAACGGGCGCCATTTTTGCTCAACAAAGATGACGGCCGCCATTTTGAAGCAGCGCAAAAGCAACAGACGCCGTTTCGATGATAGCTATTAAAATATCCAGGAATGGAAGAGAGAAGAGAAAAACACATCTTTTCCTAATATAGACTGTGTCTAAAAGCATTCTTGGATGCTATCTCCAGCCACCAGAGAATGGGCATATCAGATAAGACCAACGTCTATTCTGAGGTTATTTTGTTTTTGACCAAGAACATTGTGTGAATGTAGACACTAAGGTATGTAAAGCATGGTTTGTAACTTAGCATGTTACTTGAAGCCAATCAGAAGGTTTTTATTCAGTAAACTCTATTATATTGTGATGTAGTATAAATTCACTCTTAAAAAAGAACACAGAAACACTACGAATCAAAATCTTTCTCTAGAATATTGTGAAGAAAGAACTATTAACCTTCACTTCTGAAGTCACTCTTGACAACTTCAGTGGAATGGAAAAATTACTGAAATTAAAAGCATGCATATGGGGAGAACCTATATTAGAAGGCTTAATGGCATTTAAAAGCAATTAAATGAATGTGGGGTATGACCTATAAACAATTGTCACAAACACATATAAATTATTTAATAATTATGTTATTAATAGGAGGTTTTGGAGTTGTATTTGTATTCCACAACTGATTCTGTGTTTTAATCTAGACTGCTCTCCAGCATAACCCTATTGCAATATTTGCCACTGCCAAATATTTGCTGATTTAATAACTAATCTGATTCAAAAAATAGCATTTAAAATGTAATTGGACAGTATTCAAGTTTAATTTCATCTTTACAGTAGCATGAATTTGATAGATTATTTTAGCTTGGTTTATAAAGTCCAGTGTTAAAAATTATGTACAAAACAAAGTGTTAAATCTTAATTTTCTTATGCCAATTAGAAATGTTTGACTTTGTTTTTGTTTTTCTAAGTAATGAGGAACTAATAATTACCAGGCAGATCTTTTCCAGACTTCGTATTCAAACATTAACTGAAACCTGAATCCTTTCCGTATCCTTTTGATTTATGAATTAAAATATCAAGTTGCAAAGCCTCGCATTGGATTATATGCTATATGTTAATTCCATGATTAAGAAATCATATTACAATGCTTTCTTTATTCAGCTGCCTTTAAAACAGAACGGTCCGCGGGTTTTGTTTCTATCCAGTGTTATCTTTTATCCTGAAAACATTAATTTCATGAGGATCTTGTTGAACATAGTAGGCAGTTATGAATTACTTTTTCCTTCTTGGTATTGTGTAAGTTAAAAGCCAGGCTAATGTTTATTAAGAATGAAGGTGAGTAATATTTGAGGAGCCATTGAAGGACAGTGTCTCACCATCCCCATTAAACCTGTTGGTGCATGTCCCCATTTCTAAAGCTGCTGACACCACCGGGTAACTTCCTATGTCTCTGGTTGCAGAACTTTGGCAAACTTTCAAGGCCCTTCCCATCGTTTAAACTGGCCCTTCCCATCTCTTCAGCTACCATAGCAAATCCCTTTTTAACTTTATAAGAACTTGAAATATCTCCTGTGTCATTACCATTCATGTTGCCTTTGACTTGCCCATCCCTTCTCTTAAGTCTTAGGTTCTTTTTCCTGCAAGGTTGTCGCAATTTTTTTCTCTCCAGCTCCACCATTTAAGTTGTTTCTCAAATTATTTGTTACTGTACCACGATAAGGAGTGTGTAGGTACCAGGAAAAAAAAGGAATCCAGATAGTAAGAGTGAGGTAAATGGATGAGAGTTGAGTAATAACACTATGAATTCTGATGACTCTGATCAAGGCTTACTTAGTTCACCCTTCTGTTCTCACATTTGCCAACCAGATGCCTCTTGAGAAGTTTAGAAGTAGGAGATGCGTACTTTACATTAGTACTTTCCCACTTACCGTATTTCTCGCACTATAAGAAGCAACTGGCCATAAGACGCAAGCTTAGAGGAGGGAAGCAAGAAAAAAAAATACCAGGGGGAGCCTGAGAGGACCACAGATAGGTGTCCTCTAATGTGCCAGCTCTGTCTATTGACTCCTGTACTGCGGAAAAGAAACAGAAGAGACAGGCAATGACAAAGACGGAAGAGGCGGGGTTCAGAACTGTAAAAGGACCCCGCCACCAAGGCTCGGCTGCTATTCACCAAAGGACCAGCACCGTTTCCACCCACTTTTGGGGGATGGGGAGGGCATCTTATGGACCGAAAAATACATCAATTTCCCCAACAGTTGATATTCAGGGTCGTACCTATGAGACTGATGGAGGTAGCTTATAAAATGCCATGAGTAGCGTAGCAATTACTGATAACTGGTAAGAGACTTGTCCTAACTTTTGAAATTACGTAGCTTAGCACCAAACAAAGTGTCTTCCTCTAATGTTGCAACCGAACTTTGAACCTTGAATGTGAGTTATGAATATAGTCATTTCTTAATTGGCAGGAATTGGCTCTCCGTAGTCAGCTTCCCAGTATGGAACAAGATGGCACCCAGAATCGAGTATCCTCTCCCGGAATGTCTCAAGAACTCAGAACAATGACCACAAATAGCTCAGATCCCTTTCTTAACAGGTTAGTGGCAGTAGCTCCCAGTGGTTTCATTTCACCAAAGCTAACAATGTTTCAAATTCTGTTTGGTTTCTGTAATCCTCTGTTCGGGACTTTGATCTGTTCCAAGAATCCCAGCTGTAAAGGGATATTTTTTTACAGGGCAAATCTAGTTCACTCTCGCATTTCCCCCCCTCCCAAAAAAGCTGAAGATTAAGATCTGTGGAAGTCAACTGTTCAGACTTGTAGGAAAGATTTTGTCTTCAAAGTCGTAACGTGTTCTCCAAGGCACAGGCCAATAGGTGCACAGTGACTCGGAAAACCTTTTCAAACACTAGCACTGAACTTGCTCGGGGGCTCTCTTAAAGGATTTTGCAGTATTCCTGGTTTTAATTTTATTCTTTATAGCGCTGACACACAGGAAATGGTGATAGGCTTTAGCATATCATATTACAAGGCAAGCAAGCTATTTTTTTTCTGGTGTTAATTTATGCAGCCTCTGGTTGCTAGTTAACAGGGTCATGTGTTTTAATGCTTCTAATTATTGAATACCCTGTTTTCCCGAAAATAAGACCTCCCCGGATAATAAGCCCAATCGGGCTTTATGAGCACATGCACTAAAATAAGCCCTCGCCTGAAAATAAACCCTCCCCGAAAATATTGCAACACAGCAGCAGCCATGAGGTGACCACGCTCGGTGACTCCTGCGCCTCAAAAATAATAAGACCTCCCCAAAAATAAGGCCAAGCACTTATTTATAAATAAGACCCTGTCTTATTTTCAGAGAAACATGGTAGATAAGGTTAAAATGGGACATCAGTACGCACAAAGAACTGAAAAGAAATGCTGGCTATTGTTGGTTACTTGGATATTGTTTCATTCAAGGACTGGAGTCTTATTTTTCAAGCCAATAAGTCAATCAAACAGAAGACAATTACTGTTTTTAATGAAATTTGCCATTTCTCAAGGGCATTCCTCCTTCCCTGACTATCATATAAATAGTATTTTCTGAATTTTCTGAATTCTGGCAGTCCTACAAAATTCTAAATTCAAGGATAGGAACTACCATAACTAAACTCTTGCGGATATCTGGAGCCCCCTTGTGTATTCTATATGTCTGCGTAGGTTATAGTTAAAATGTCAGACATTGTGGAACAAGTGCATTTTTAAAGTATAGATAGTCCTCTACTTACAACCACAAATGAGCCCAAAATTTCTTTTGCTAAGCGAGACATTTGTTAAGTGTACTTTGCCGCATTTTACAACCTGTTTGGCAGTTATTTAATAGCAATAGGAATGGCACTTAGACATATACCGCTTCACAGTGCTTTACAGCCCTCTCTAAGCATCTTACAGAGTCAGCCTCTTGCCCCCAACAATCTGGATCCTCATTTTACCCACCTCGGAAGGATGGAAAGCTGAGTCAACCTTGAGCCTGGTGAGATTTGAACAGCCAAATTGCAGGCATCCGGCAGGCAGCAGAAGCAGCTTGCAGTACCGCACTCTAACCACTGCGCCATCCCAGCTCAACTTGCTTGTCACATGAATCTGGCTTCCCCATAGACCTTGCTTGTCAGAAGGTCACAAAAGAGGGGGGGGGGGTCACGTGATCCCAGGACACTGCAACCGTCATAAATATGAACCTGTTGCTAAGCATCTGAATGTTGATCGTGTGACCATGGGGATCCTGCAAAGGTTGCAAGCGTGAAACAAAGTCATAAGTCACTTTTTCAATTCCGTTGTAACTTTCAACCATCACAAAATGAACTGCTACAAATTGAGGACTATCTGCACACTTTTGCAGTGGGTCAGTCAGTAGCGTAATAGTGCGTAAACTAAATTTAGATTAGAATTCTCAAGAACACAAACAAATTGGAAGGCATTGCCAATTTTTTTTTTTTTAATTGTTGCCCTAACGGAGCTCTGCCATTACTGACTTCTGTGAATTTTTTTATTTTTTTATTTTTTT